GTGTATGTGTGTGTGTGTGTGTGTGTGTGTGTGTGTGTGTGTGTGTGTGTGTGTGTGTATTGTGAGCATGTGGGAGGGATTGAATTCAGGGCCTTGGGAAACTCTGCCACTGACCTAAATCTCTTCTCAAATACAGAAATCAAATTCCCTGCTAGTAGAACTCTGTAGATCCTCTCCAGCACGGAATCCTTAAAGAAGTGCAGCCCCCAGACAAGGTGAAGATCAGTGCTATTTGCAGTGAAAAAAACCAAGACAAACAGTTTAACTAGATTTGTGACTGTTCGTCTTCACGTGAAATTAAAATAGGAAGAAAACCTCAAGATTAGTTATACTTGAGATTTCCTAAATTATGGGATGGAAGGAGTCTGTATGATGCAATTTTAAACTTTAAATAAAAAGTTCTGGTTTGGCCAGGTGGTAGTGGCACACATCTTTAATCCCAGAATTTAGGAGGCAGAGGCAAGTGGATTCCATGAGTTCAAGGCCAGCCTGGTCTACAGAGTGAGTTCCAGGACAGCCAAGGCTACACAGAAAAACCCTGCATCGAAAAAACCAAAAAAAAAAGAAAAGAAAAGAAAGGAAGGAAGGAAGGAAGTCCAGGTCTGTCACCACCTTTGGTGGCACATGGAGCCTAATGAGTTAGAGGACAACCTGGGCTACATAGAAGATCCTGTCTCAAAGGTGGGAGGGTGCCATCCTAGGGCTGGAGGTACCACACACACAAATGTTATTAAATAAAATTAAAATAAAAAAAACCCATTAAATCGTGAGAGGACAAAGAGGCCAGCTTGGGCTACACAGCAAAACCCTGTATCCAAAACGTAAAATGTAATCCTCACAATAAGCCTTGGCCATCTGTTTTAAGGGTGGGGAACCTGATGCACAGGGATGGTAGATTTGAACCTCTGGCTGTTCAACTCCGAAGCCCGTTACTTCCTACCCTTCCCAAATGGAACCTCAGGTGGGCCCTTTCCTCTCCCGTTGCTCTGTGGGCCATTAATTTACCCTCCAAGTGAAAACATCCAAGTGTCTAGACAACTAGTCGAGTGGGCAGCTGGACCAGGACCAGTGCTGGGAAATATTGACAGTGCCACATTAGTGGGGATGCTATTGAGAATATTTTAATTATTCTAATATAATCTATATGTTTGTATACATTATGTGTATGCATGTGTATACGTATGTAAGCTGCCATGTAGGTGCTGGGAACTGAGCCGAGGTCTTCTGCAAGAGCAGGAGGTGCTTTGCACCAAGAACCATCTCTCCACCCCTCTATTGACCATTTTATAAAGATCTAAGATGATGCAACAGGACTGCAATTAGGTAGGTGTATCTAAATACAAAACTTGGTTTGGACCGGGAGGTGGTGATGGCGCACGCCTTTAATCCCAGCACTCGGGAGGCAGAGGCAGGTGGATCTCTGTGAGTTTGAGGCCAGCCTGGTCTACGATGAGATCCAGGACAGGCTCCAAAAGCTACACAGAGAAATCCTGTCTGGAAAAAACAAAACAAAACGAAAAGAAAACACACACACACACAACAACAACAACAACAACTCGGTTTGCAGCAGGAAGGGTAAATATATGTGAGAACAACAATTTAAAAGTTAACGTATTTTAAATATTGATAGCACACAATGCCTGTTCATATAGTCCTTAATACCAGGGCGGTTTTTTGTTTGTTTGTTTTTTTGAGACAGGGTTTCACTATGTAGCCCTGGGCAGGCCTGGGACTCACTCTGCAGACCAGGCTGGTCTGGAACTCACGGAGATCCTCCTGCCTCTGCCTCCTGAATGCTGGGACTAAAAGCCTTTGCCGTCCCACCCAGCAATACAGGGTTTTGTGTGTGTGTGTGTGTGTGTTTCTTTAGTGTACTGTCCATTCACACCAATGATATTCCGTGAACCAAGAGCATATTTAAAAAAAAAAAAGACAATGGACATTAAAACCACTGAAAAGATGATCTAAACCTATTCCCAATAAGCATAATAAATTCGAGCAAAGCCATTAGATAACAGGGCCTTGGAAGTGGTCTAGAAATCCAACCCACTGTGGTCTGTTTTGACTTGGATCGATTGCATTTGGGAGGAATTCTTTGTTGGGGAGAGGAGCGTCTAAGATGTCAGAGAGTGAAAAAGAAATGGGGATGTCTGCTGTAACTGAAGAGAGGTGTGGCCTGGCCCCCTGAAAGGGGGAGATAGTAGATTCACCAAGGACTAAGGTAAGCCCGTGGCCTTTGGAGCCGGGCCTGGCTGTTTTCTCGGGAGACCTAAGTGTGACTCCCAGCCAGCTAGGTGAGTGGGAGAGCGCGCAGCCCAGCAGCCCGCGGGGTTGGGCCCAGGCACTCTCCGCCTGCGCCTAGCCAGTCCCGCAGGTAACAGCAGCCCCAAACGTGGGGTAATCTTAGAGCGGGCACATGTATGCACTAAGTGGTGAGATCGAAGGGGAGATAGCGATCACAAAGATTCGTTTGATTCTCCCAGTAATCCACACCAAGGCACCGAAAGCAGCCCGAGTGTGTGCGTGGGGGCGGGGCGGGGCGGTCGGGAATGCCCTCGCTCCTTGCAGCCGGGCCCGCGCACACCTTGCCCGGGAGCAGCCCGGCTCCAAACCCCGCTGGCTGTGCATTAACTCCCGGGCCTAAAGCTTGGGTGTCCGGGAAGCTCCAAACAGTGCTTTGTGCTTGATCGAAGGGGTAAAGAAAAAAAAAAAAAACGTTCCAGGAGCGGGGGTGCAACCGGGGCGCCTGCTGCTCGTGGGTGCAGACCAGGCCTCCGGGGCAGGGCGATGCGGCCCCGGGGGCGGGGTGGGCTGCAGCGGCGCGGCCGTCCCGAGGC